CTAAGGTATTTGTGTAATACCAGACCTGATATTTGTTATGCAGTTGGAATAGTTAGCAGATTTATGAGTAAACCAAATTGGTCTCATTATCAAGCCGCCGTCAGGATTCTGAGGTATGTGAAGGGAACTCTAAAGTATGGAGTGTTATTTCCGTATGGAAGAAAGATCGAATCAGAACTTGAGTTATTCAGACTCTGATTGGTGTGGAGATAGAGTTGACAGAAGAAGTACTTCTGGGTACTTATTCAAATTTCTGGGAGGTCCTATTTCTTGGTGTTCCAAGAAGCAACTTGTTGTTGCATTGTCAACCTGTGAAGCTGAATATATTGCAGGCACTCTGACTGCATGCCAAGCTGTATGGATTCTGAACTTGCTAAAAGATCTGAAGAATGAGGTAAATAAACCTCTGAAGATGATGATTGATAACAAGTCTGCAATCAATCTTGCCAAGAACCCAATGCTGCATGGGAGAAGCAAGCATATTGAGATCAAGTATCACTTTCTGAGGAATCGGGTTCATAATCGAATATTAGAAGTTGTGCACTGTATCACCCAGAAACAGTTAGCAGATGTTCTAACAAAGGCTATCAAGACTGATCAATTTCTTCGTTTGAAGGATGAAGTTGATGTTGTCAGTTTTGTGTAAATATAAATTAAGGGATGGTGTTAAAATTAATTTATATTTTAAGAATATCTTTTTAGATATTAATTTATATTTTAGGAATATCTTTTTAGATCTTTTTATATCTTTGTTAGAGGATATTTAGGATTTTATTATACCCTAATTTTTGTGTATAAATAGCCTAGTGAGGTAGGTCAATGTAACTCATTGTAAATCATTATTCCTTATTTTTTAGCTGTCATTAAATATATTTCTTTTGTCTTTCATCTCTTCTTTATGCATCAACACTTTATAGTCGTCATTGTAGAGCTTTAATATTATTCTCTCTTACCTTTTCTTCATTTATTAACCTTGTGCACCAACAAATTGGTATCTAGAGCTCCAGTTGGATTCACGGGAAACACGAGTGAAACGGTGAGGCGTTGTGTGATTGATTTTGGTTCTTAAATTCGTGTTGAATCTTGAACAAAAACTGAACATAATCATATTTTTCTGATTTTGTGGGATTGAGAAACACTGTTTGTGAGATCTGAATGTTCTGTACAAGGTTGAAGATGACCTGAAATGGTAGTCTAAGCACCAAGCTTCTAGTATTTAATGGAAAAACTGGAATCATTGGATGACTCAGATGCATGTGATATTTGGCACTCGAGATGTTATTGAGCTTGTTACAAATGGTTATGTTTCAGTTGCAGCAGATGCAACGAAGGAACAGATAAATACAAAGAGAGATACAAGGAAGAAAGATCAGAAGGCATTGTTCTTCATCTATCAGTGTATGGATGAGAACATGTTTGAGAAAATTGTTGAATCAACGATGGCGAAGGCTGCATGAGACACACTGAGTAGGTGTTACTGTGGTGACACATTAGTGAAGAAGGTGAGGCTTCAGTCTCTCAGAAAGTAGTATGAGAATATCAACATGAAGGAGAACGAGAAGGTTTCTGAGTACACCTCTAGAGTGATTCTGATCACTAATAAGATGAAAGCTTGTGGAGAAACCCTTTATGAACAAGTAATCACAGAGAAGGTATTGAGGTCACTTACTCCTCAATTGGATTACATTATTGTAACAATTGAAAATTATAAAGATCTAGACACCATGAGAATAGAAGAGCTGTAAAGTAGTCTAGAGGCACAAGAGTTGCATCTGATTGAAAGAACTTCTGAGAGGGAAGTTGAGCAGGCTCTGAAAGCTTCTTTTGTCAAGAAGGACCAGAAGCAGAGAAAATATGGTAGGTCTCAGAAGTCAGAAGTCTTCTATTCTGATGAAAAGAAACATCATAAGGGAAAAGAGAAGTATGACAAGAGAATGGTTCAGTGTTAATGCTGTAAGCAGTTTAGCTTTGCTAAAGATTGTTAGTCAAACAAAGAAGAAGTAAAAATAGCTAGAGGATATTCTGATGATGAACCTGTGCTATTAATGGCTTATGAATCTGATGAGGAACCTGTGAAATTGTCAATTTCTGATTCTGAAGGGGAAGAAGATGACTCTGAATATTCTGACTCTAAAAGAGTGTTTGAATATGAGTCAGAATCAGAAGATGACGTTGAAGAATCCTGAAGATAGTCAGAATATGAGGTTTCTGAAGATGAGTCAGAGTTAGAAGATGATTATGAAGCTAAAGACAAGTCAGAATCCGAAGGTGATTCTGAGTATGAGGAAGAATTAAAAGATGAGTCAGAATCTGAAGGAGATTCTGCTTCTGAAGATGAGTCAGAACTTGAAAGTTCTGAAGGTGAGTCAGAGTAAGAGGATGAAGAATCTTTCGGAGACTCTACAGATGAGTCAGATGGTGAATCTGATTCTGATCCAGATTTTGAATCTGGTGGTGGTCATGCTTCTAGAAGGGAAAACTCTAAAGACGTAATTTCTGGGGGACAAGCTTCTGAAGATGATTATGTTTTTGGTGGAAATCATGTCTCTGAAGGTGGACCTTCTGAAGGAGGAGCTTCTAAAGGTAATCTAGCCTTTGACGGTGATCATGATTCTGAAAGTGGAACTTCTGAAGGTAGAGCTTCTGAAGGTGATCCAACTTTTGAAGATGGTATTTTTGAAGGTAGTGGTTTTGAACGAGGTCCAAAAGCTAACAAAGGTGCAGCTTCTGGTGGTAGTCAAACTTCTGAAGAAAGTCTAGAAGGAGATATTGTTCCAGAATCAGAAGGAGATTATGAACAAGTTTAGAGGCCACATAGAGTCAAAAATATACTAAGGAGATTTAAAGAGTTTGACAAGATGCAAGACACTGAAGGGACTCTGAGATATAGAGTGTTATTCGCTTCTAATGTTAGATCAGATGCAGTGCTGATATGCTATCCAGAATCCGATTGGTATGAAGACAGAGTTGACAAAAGAAATACTTTTGGATATTTTTTTTTTATCTGGAAAGTCCTATTTTTTGGTGCTCCAAGAAGAAACTGGTCGTTGCGTTGTCAACCTGTGAAGTTCTCATGAAGAAAATGTGGCTGAAGGTCATGAAAGAAGAGCTTGATGCTATTGAAAGAAACAAGACTTGGGAGTTAACTAAGCTTTCGAAGGAGAAGAAAAACATCAGTGTTAGATGGGTCTTCAAGATGAAATATATATTTCTAAATGGAGTATTAGAAGTTGCACACTATAGCAACCAGAAGCAACTTGCAGATGTTCTGACGAAGGATGTCAAGGCTGAACACCTTATCGATTTGAGTAATAAAATTGGTGTTGTAGTTTTTTTTTGTGGTTAGCTGAATATGAATTAAGGGATGATGTTGAAAGTAATTCATATTCAGAAGTTGTTGGTAGAATCAGTGTTGCTCAGAAGCAGTAGAATTGTTGAAGTTGTTAGTTAGAAGTAGTAGTTTGATATATTAAGTTGATGTTAGTCAAAAGTAAAAGTTTCTGAGGTTACGTCCAAAAGTATATTCAATTCAACTTCTGGATTCTGAGTTTGTTAGCGTAGCTGTTAAGTTTAGTATTTCCTAATTTATACCTTTTAACTTAGTCATTAAATTTATTTTTTATTAAAGTTTAGATGACAATTTACTTTGTGTATGAATAAACTAATAATAACTGTCATTTATAACGGTAACAGTAACAACAATTATTATTCAATTATTCTTTCTTACAATTTTGTAGTTCTCATTCCCGATATTCTCTTATTTTTTTTCATTTATTAACTTTGTATTCCCACAAAAGAAAAAGTTAAAATATTAAAAGTAAAATTAGCTTTTGTATTCTCTCACAAAGAAAAGGTTGGAAAGGAATAGTGATGATGATCACATTCACAGCAAAGTGGTCCAAAAGGAACAACAAGTAACGCTCGCTACCATTCCGATCACGAGAATCTGACAAAAACATGAACATCACGTTCCGAATCATATCGTATTCCTGTTACAGGATATTTTTACATTTGATAACTGTTCAAACCATACAATACAGGTCAAAGTTTATACGTAGACTAAATAAAATGGATCCAACATTTTTCCGTGTAACACCTTACCAACTACCAAAGAAACAAAATTTTGTAAATAACTAAATAAGGTGATGGATTTACTAAACTGCCATTGTTAACTAAAAATTACAATTCTTACTTTTTTTTTCTTCTTTCTTTCTTTTTTTAATTTACCACTACACGAGCCCCTGTCATATAAACCATAATTCTCTTACCACTTAAAATTTAAGTTACACGTTATCCCTTGCTTGAATATCAATATAAATGGCTTAATTTCTATGAGTTTTACTTTTATCTAGGCATGGTTGCATGCTAAAAGCCACCCCATCAAATATTCATGCTTGAGGGAGATGCTTCAAATTTCATAAATAAACAAACATAATAGGAGGGCCCACAGATGACCACTTAACCTATAAACAAATCAATTAAAAAATCAATTAAAATTAAAAGCAGCCAAGGAATGCAACAAAACCAATTAAAAAATATAAATTGGAAATATCAAGGTTGTTTATAAGATTCTTCTTGTTGCAGCAACCAAGGAGTGGGACATTTTTGAATTCTTCTTCTTATTCCTCAAGTTATATCACAATTAGTACTAGTAGCTTTTCCATTAACCCGTTTTATCATTATTTTTAATTTTAACTTGAAATGAAAGTCCAACTATATATTTCCGTATCCTAAATACAATTCAATCAATGGTCATCAGACAAGAGATTTTTTTAAAGTAGTTTAGTGGCTGAGATTTTAATAAAAATATATCGAAACTATCAATTTCTTAATTATGAATATCTTTTTCTGTTATTTTATATTTATAGTTTATTTATTAAACACTCAAATTAATTATCAAGTAATTTTATCGAACAAAATTTATATAATGTTTTTACATAACTATCAACTGAACCGTCTAATTAAAATGAAAAATAAAAAAATAAATCAGAAAGAAAGAGATGATGGACGATGTTGACAAGTTTAATGTGATTTCCCTTGTCATCAAAGTTTCATTATTTTTCTCTCTCCCAAATCTTGATTCAGACAACAATGCCCCATCGCTGCAGATCCAAGTCCCCATTATCTCTGCTTTTCATTCTTCCATTCCACCACAATCTCAACAAAATCACTTTTCGATTTCAATGACTCTCACTTTCGCTTTTCTACATCGGGTACACCATTTTTCTAACCTTCATAGTTCTTCTTGTTATTGTTTTTCTCTATCTCTAATGCACTAGCTTTATTCACTTTTTTTTTTTTGTGGTTGAGCTTTGATTTCTTCATTGCTACTCTAGATGGACGATTTTGGTTTCTTTCCTCCAATTGCGTTTTTGAAACGTCAAATGATTTTTATTTAACCCATTTTCTTGCCAAATCACTCTCTTAGATTCATTATTCTTATACATGTCATTTCATACTCTTGTTTTTTACTGCAAGATTTTTTTATTTTCTCTTCATTTTTTTCTCCTTTCCTACTCCACAAATTGAATTATTGTGCTTGAAGAATCTTCACTCTCTGATAGTGTTATGTACTTCTGTTTCATGCCTGCAATTTCATTCATTTGGAGTTAATTCTGTTTTAGGCATCAAAATAATATGTAGATACTCTTTTTTGTGTACTTGAAATGTTTGGTTTTTGTTTTTTCACAGAAGTGTTTGGATTTGTTAATAATCTTGCTTCTTGATAAGTAGATTAAGATTTTCATTTCACTTTAATTGTTTGTAGTTTTGATGTATTTGCTGATTTTGTTTGTTAATTGAATTGTAGGAAGATGCCGATCGTGTGTCTCTGTGATATAAGAATCGTCCAATTTGAAGCGATGATTCTATTTTTCTAGGTATATGCATACAAGTTATCTTGAAAAATGAGTCCAGCTATTAACTGTTGTTTTATTTCCAGCCAAAAGTCGAAGTGAAATCGGTTATATCTTTTTGATGTAGGCTGTCCTACCTTTAAAATTGAGGGTACCATGCTGTATGTTGTATGATTGAAATTGAAACCTGCTACTACATTATCATTTATGGCATTATTGGGCGCAAATGTTCAATGCAATGACAATTTTTCAAGATACTATTCAACTAGGGAGCTTCTCTTTGACTCTGAAGGCAGCACATGGACCTCATCTAATGTTAATAATGAACTAAGAACTGATTTCTACCACATGGGCCCTTTTCCATTATCATCACCTTCTACTACCCTTTTAGGCTACAACCAGGAGCTTGTGAAGCAAACAATACTCAAGCACGAAGCCATATTTAAGGACCAGGTATGTTAACTTGGTGATTTTGATTTTTCGGTTAGATTATCCTCAGTTTTTTGGTGTGTTCTTTTCTATCAAAATATGCCAAGATTGTTTTATTATTGAAATGTGTGATTTGCAGTGTAATTTACTTAAGCCTTTGTACTCTACTTTGCAGTTACTTTTAATTTATTCATTTTTTAAAATTATTATTGGTATCAACGTGTCAGTGTTGTGCTTCATAAATTCTATGATGCATTGAGATGACAGTAAGAAGAGTTAAAAGTTATCAATACAGTCTTTTATGAGGTAGTTGAATCTAGATGAATACAGTATGAATGAGAAGAAAGGAGCAAAGGGATAACCTTATTCAGTTCAATCTAAGTTAATTTAAGAAGTAATTATCATAACTCATTAAATTACCATTCTTTGTTCCTTGTTTATAGTTGTTTGTTGTTTATGACGATGTGGCTCTTATTTATTCTTGAATACTCATCAAATTCTTGTTTTGTATGTCTCTAAATTGTCCATTGCTCTTCAGATTCGAGAGCTTCACCGCGTTTACCAAAAGCAGAGGGAATTAATGGATGAAATTAAAAGGAGTGAATTACATAAACAAAATGTAAGGTTGGAGGCATCATGGTCTAGTTCTGCTTTGTCATCTAAAAAAGCCGAAAAGATATTTTGCTCGCCAAACCTGCCCTGGTCAACCTCTCAATCACCTGTTTTATTTGCTGAAAGCATCCAGTTGGCACCGGTCTTTGCTCAAGAAAAAAACAGGCAAATTTTTCCTGCTCGTGCCTCAACCGTAACCGAAGAATCTTTAAAAGATTATAAACTACCAGAGTCCAAATGTAAAAAAGTCGGTAAAAAGTTATTGGATCTTCAACTTCCTGCCGATGAGTACATTGATAGCGACGAAGGTGAAGAGAACGTAACGTTTAAGATTGACTTAAATGTACCATGTAGGCTTGAAGTAGAGCCAGCTGCAATGTCTTGTGATATGGAGGGCCCTGCACATCATATGAACAATTGTTTGTATGATCTATCAAAGATAACAAAATTCGGATCTCAAAATTTACGTGGTGATGTCATCAACAAAAGACAAGATCTTGAAGGATGCTCTCATAATCAACTGCCAGAAAATGAGAAGAAATGTGCATGGAAGTCCTCAGGTAATAGTCGTATTCAATTTTTTATTACACTATTTTCAAATTTTTCAACTGCTAAATATTGACAGTTCTTGCTTATACACTATTATAACTATATTTTATGATTTACTTTTCAGGGCTAAGTGGTGGTTTGTTTGATTCTTTTGCTAAATGTATTAATACAGAAAAGCAACCTGTTTCAGTTGATTCATTGAGTAAGAAGAATATGGAGCAATTTGATGACCTTTCATGTTTCCATTCATCACATCAAATTAACCAAGGACCTTGGACGAAGAGAAAGTTTTGTAGCAGTGAGAGCTCTGCACAAACTCAATGTTCTACAAGTAACGGTTTGATTGGGGCAATGGGGTTGCCTTGTATTAAAGAAAGTAAAACCTCAACCCGTATTCAATCTGTTGTTTTAAATCCTTATCATACAGGAGTTATACAAGGTTTTAAATCAAGGGAGATTGGCGAAAGTAACTTACGTACAGAAAAGGCTCTTGCATTTCACAGCAACGGAAAGCCGCACATGTCATCTGATACACATTCTTTTCATGACTTTGCCGCCGAATTCTTCCAAAACCAATCCAAAAATCAAAGGATTGAAGAAATCGAAAAAGGATGCATTTCTGTTGTAAAGTCACCTTGTATTGATGTGCCTAACTCGGGGGAACTTGTTCCCTCAGGTGAGCATTTGATTAAGAATGAGAAGAAGCAGGAATTTTTGGCAGGTATTATCGACCTAAATTCAAGCATGATTGAGGATGAGAATATGCCGATTGATGTTGACTTTCATGCACCTGCGAGTCCAGAGAACAAGGAGTGCTCTCCACCCAGAGGAGAATCTGATGAAAACCAACTTGTGACACCCTTTGAGTTTGCAAAACAAGAGGATCACCATGTGCAAGAAGAGCAAACCAGAATTGCAGCAGAAGCTTTGGTTTCCATATCAGGATTTGTAGCTCAAAAAGACATCCAAATGACAACTTGTTCATCGTCTGAATCTTTTATGAATAGTCCTCTTAACTGGTTTGCTGCAATTGTTTCCACAACAGTGGATCATGTAGAGAATGACAATGAAACCGATTTCAACGATAAGGTTAATGGTCTCAAGGAGTTTCTGTCTGATGAAATGGATTACTTCGAGTTCATGACCTTAAATTTGACAGAGAAAAACGACCTAGATTGCTGCTGTAAGAGTATTGACCAAACCGAGCAAATTGGTGGATCGACTTCACCAACGCAGCCAAGGAAGAGTGTCCGAACAAATAGAGGAAGGTGGCGAAAGGATTTTCAGAGTGAAATCCTTCCAAGCATTGCTTCTTTGTCAAGGTATGAGGTAACTGAGGATCTTCTGACTATTGGAAGCCTTGTAAGTGTTGGTACTCACTCCGAGACGTGCTCTCAAAGAAATGCACATAATAATGTACGAAGTAGGGGGAGGAGAAGATCCTGTACTTCAACCTCCAACACTAAAGACACAGACTTGTTGTTGAACTTGAAACGGCTAACTAGCATCACTAAATTGGGAATTGAGAAAAAGGGTCTAATAAGTTGGGGAAAGACGTGTAAAAAGCGAAGGGGGAAGAGATTTCGTATCACTAAACCTTGGTTTATTTGAAGCCAAGTATAGAACTAATTCTTTGACTATGTTCATTGACCTTGGATGAGATTTTTATGAAGTATAGAATGATTTGTAAATGTTTTATTATACAATATAGTAACTGGAGGATAGAAAAAGAACTCTATTGTATATCCTGGTTTTTTTTCTTCTTGTGATTGAATCCTTATATCTTCTCATTGCAAGAGATGGAATAATTTTTATCTTTGGTTGTTGGAAAGTGATTCCAGTAGCTTGTCCACGAGGGGTGCAGTCGTGCTACTTTTTGCCAACCATGGCTAAAAAGAAATGTGATATCAGTTTTGATTTATTAGAGTTAAGGTGTGGTTGGTAAAACTGGAAAGAAATCATGCTAAAATGAAGTGCTCAATGTTGTTCATGATTTTATTTGTTAGAGTGTTTGGTGCATTCTGCCCTACTTATCTTCACACATAAGTATTCCTGGTTGATTGAGAGAATTTTTTAATAGACTATCCCTTTGTTAGAACAAGTTGGCTTAGAGTCTTATAATTTCAGGTTTATCCTTTTCTAAAGATGCTTATATCTTCGTTCATTAAAAAATGGACATGTTGCCTTTTTTAGGCAAAGATATTCGGCATATCTGAATTCCTCTCCTCTTGATCTTTTCTACTTTACAGGTTGTTGCATTGCAAGATGTCTACCGAGAAGATTCTCTATAGAAAAGAAAAAAAGGCTGCATTGCATTGTTGTATCCATGCATATCCTATGTGAGAGTTTTTTATGAATCTTCAACTCATCTTTTTCTGTAGTGCTCTTTATTGGAAGTTGATAATAATTCAGATAATAATTCAAATGTATTCTGGAAGTTAGCTTATTTGAAAAGTATTTTCTGAAAGCTGTAAAGATTTTGTGTGTCGAAGAGGAGAAATCGAGTCTGAGGAAACCGGAAAATTAACCACTTTCACCATTGATTCACCAATTTAGTTTTTGTGTATGTTCCAAGAATTATGACAAGTGGTGCAAACAAATGAAAGTTTTGTTTGGGTAT